AAGTTGTGAAATTAAAGATTCTAAGCTCAGTTGATGCTTTATGACACCACGCAGCAGCCCTGTACTCTCCTTGATAGACTCAAGGGTTACCGGTACCAACCAAAGTGTCACATCAATGTAGCTACTACTTCAACCGTGTCGGTATACCCCACACAGTTCCCTCACAGTTTGTTGCTACTTACCTAAAAGGTGCCACCAGATTCGGGTGTAGGATCTACATAACCCAAATAAAACCCTTGAATATAAAGCAGGAAAAGAAAAAGACAAGCAAGCAATTTTAGAATACCTAAATCCTAAGGTATACCCCACTTATTAAATCTCCAGCAGAGTCGCCAGTTCTGTGATACGGTGGCAGAACCGACTGTTAATATTGGTTTGTGTTTTTTGTTCGCAAATGTCGCGGTAAGCAAGATTCGCCACCTAATTGTATTTCATCTAACAAAGGAAAGGAAAAGGAACAGAAAAAACCTTTTTTCGAGAGTTTCTGAGTACGGGGGGTAGATTATAGAAAGGGAAGGTATTAGCACCCTTTCTATCCATGGTTTTCCACGGGCTCTTAGGTACTTGATCATTTTGAAATTGCTTGTGTGTGTTTTTCAAAAAGTTTTGTTTAACTTCGTGATAACTCTTGTATCTGTCCTCAAGAGTGTGACGAAGTGTTTTTTGAAAACGGTTTTGAAAAGTGTTTATGAAAAAGTTTTATTGTTTTGAGCAAGTACTTAATATTTCTACCTACTCGAAAAAAGATTGTTCGTTCTCATTTCCTTTAGACAGTGTTATCCTACTATTAAGGAGTAGGTAGCCCTAGCGTTGGAGTTTTAAGGGACATTCGAAGGGACGAAATGGTCATTGAAGGCAACTTGTAAGGATACCTTAGCATCTCGAAGGGACTGTCATCATAAGATCATTTCTCGTAGGAAACTCGAGGGACAATGAGGGACTATGATCTTTACGACGACTTTGAATTGTGGGTCATTGCTAAGATAACCCTATGTTCGAGGGGCATGACCATTATTTTCGAGGCAACCAAGTGGGGAAAACCCTAGGAGTGAGCATGTGCAAGTGTGGTTTTTTTTTAGTTAATTATCTTTGCACAATTAGGGTTATCTACCTTTTTAATCGTGGATTTATCTTTCGCATACAATCCTAATATCCATACATCTAGCAGTTTAATAGTGGCAAAAATTAAAAAGTGCGAGAAATTAAAGTCCTAACTATCACAAAGCTTTTGGGCAGATACACAAATATTTGACTGAAAATAAAGATGCGGAAATTAAAATCCTAATTAATCTATTACAAGCTTGAAACAATTACAATAATTGGAAAAATGAATAAATAAATGCGTACGAGAATAAAGTAAATGTCCTAAGAAATCTATTTAAATAAAGAAAATATTTTTTTGATTTTTTATATTGAGAAAATTAAATATTTATGAATTAAACCTAATTTGTCTAATTAATTTTAATTATGAAAACAATCAAGCCAATATCATTAAATTAATTAATTTCCAAAAAAAACTAATTTTAATAAAAAACCCTAATTCTACATTTTTGTGGTTTTCTTGATTTTATGATTTTTTAAAAAAGATTTTTGAAATAAACAAAACAAAAATAATTAAAACAATAAAAAAGAAAATAAGGAATTAAAACAAAAATGTAAAATGGGCTTGGTAATAAAAGTAAACTGTGGGTATGAAGCTGGATTGCTGAAGCCCAAATCCTTTGGCCCAATCAGTCATTTGGATCCAGTACTGGCCATGTTTGAGGGTGCACCATAGACTTCTCTCCCACTGGGCGCTAGATCTGGATCCAAGGATGATCCACTGGCTGGATTTGGAGGGTGTATGATAGCTTTCCTAGGTAGTGCACGCTGGATCTACAAGATATTGTCAAGAAAAATTTAAAAGCGGACGCTTGGGATCGAACCTAGGACGTTTGCCTCATCTATATGCTCCCTTAACAACTGCGTTGGACTGCTCATTCGTACATATAATGAAATAAATAAAATATAAGAGAAATTAAATGATATGCCCAGGAAAACGCGCGTGAATTCAAATGAGCCAGTGGTTATCAGACACATCATCGTCTCTTTCCTCAGAGCATCGTCTTTGACGCCAACCTTTTACCTACAACAATTTTACGTCACTATAATTTCTAGTGACGGATTTTGTTCGTAACTAAAACCCTGGGTTATTCCAAAACATGATAAATGCAGTATAAATCAAAACCAATGTTAGGGATCAATCAAGAATTTTGTCCTGATTCCAACAATACCCATAATTCCCCTCAATTTATCCTAAAAAAGGAAACCCCAATTTTGATCTTTCAAACCCTAGCGATGGCATAAGCCCATTCCTGCACTAAAACTCAAATTGAACTATTCAGACACCTTCATGTGATGATTATGAACACAAAAATATAATCAAATACAATGTATAACGTATGAATGAGCAAAATCGAGATTGAAGAAAACATGAACAAACCGTGAGTATCAAGATGCAATTATGGATGCTTTGACGTGTGTAATTGATGTCGTTGGCTTTAGGAGACGTCCAGGAACATGTTGCCGGCCTTGAGATTGCTTTAATGAGACTGTAAATAAAAATCCGACCTCCACTTTCCTTTGGAAATTTTGGAACTTTGTTTGACTTTTTGGAACAAGTTGCGCCTCTCTCTCCTCTTCTTAGGGTTCAACCTGCTCTGTTATATGTATATGAATCAAATAGGTTAACAATTTTGGATTCAATATTGGAAATTGATGAGCAAGATATTTGATTTTCAAGTCATATTATTTGTTTCCAAAATTGGCCAAATCATGCCATTTTCAATTCAATCAACCCTTGCACAATTTGTTTGCTAACATACAGCTTGTATCTTCATTCTTTAATGCAAAATCATCCCAAAATATTTTTATATCATTTATTTGATTTAATTTGGACTTTAAATGATTAAAAATAAAAATAAATAAAATAAATAAGCAAATTATGTATGGAGGGGTTTATGGGTTGTGGACCATGTTAGGAATGTGTTTCAAACATAAAAAGTTAGGCCCATTTGGCAAAAATGCAAATTTGGTCAATATTGGCTTCACGCAATTTTCCAAAAATGGTCAACTTTGACAATGCATATCTTCCTCAATTTTGACCCTAGGAGGGTGTTCTTGGTCTTTTTAAAAATCTCAGGATGTCCTCTAAACAAATCTTTTAATCTCATCTCAATTGGATCTTCCATGTTCATGTAAGGAGCTTTGACCCAAAAGGTGTTTTTGTTGACTTTTGAAAAGGACCCATAATGTCTTAATTTATATCTTTTCATGAGTGCATTTTTTGAACTTGAGGATTGAAGATGAGTTGTAGGGAATTTCATCCTCTTCAAAATGAGCCTTTGATGGGAAATTTATGATAAATTATGAGAAAGTTATGCCTGGTCAAAGTTTGGTTGACTTTTCCTATATAAAGCCTAATTTAGCAACTTTTGAGTTTTGATGAATTAGGAGCATTCCTTGAGGAATCATGATCAACCCTTAATAAAATAATTTATATTACTTAAAAATATTGATTTTTACCAAAAATATTGAAGTTTGATTGTATGTGAGTCACAGTTGACTTTTGACCTAACACAATTGATTTTCAGGCATTTGAGCAGTTGACTGAGCAAACTTTTTGTGCAGGGCATGAAACTTGACATGGATGTTCTTGAGAACATATTAGGACCATGGAAAATATTTTAGACCTTTGGAGTTCACCCATCTTGATAAAAATGGAAACCCTAGTTTGAGGTTCATTGTCTTATGAGAGCATTTTCCCGATCAATCCTTGGGCATCCTTGAGCAAGTTGAGGATTTCAATGAACATATGTTGAATAAAATGAGAGGGAAAATTTTGGGGTACAACAACATGCAAGGTTTAAACACCATTGTTAGGGCACCCTGAGACGTTCTGGTCGTATCTCCCTGCTGTAATACCCCAAATTTGTCCTACCCTTCTACTTTCTATCTGGCTTACGCATTTTTGCATTTTTCTCACATTAGGTCGTCTAACACATCATGCATCATTAATCAAGAAATTGGCATAAGATCATGGATTTTGAGGAATAAGGGTTGGTGTATGGCTTTAAGGCTCTCATCTACGCACAATCTTGTTTCGGTTGATTTCTCCATTAATAATTTGTTTGGAGCTAGGTTTTCATTTCATGGACCTTATCATCATCAAGCTACGAGGCTATTCTTTCTTCTCAATGTCAAGTTGCAAGGTTTTATGAGACGAAGCTAAAAATCAGGGTTTATACATTTTCATACTTGAGCTTGCCAGCATTCTACCTGAGGTTCAGTCCATATCAGGGTATTCGCATGTCTCATCTTTCATATTCATCTGCAAGGAATCCCTCAGGGCATAGTCATTATCATCTGTTGAGAAAGGGTCCAAGACGTCGTTGTTCTAGTGTTCATATAGTCGGGACATGGTACAAGATGTTGATTGTGATCAAGGTGTCATTATTTCAAATGCTTATTGCTTAACACAGAAGTTTGGTTTATACTGAGGAATTGAATTGAATTAGGGATTCACTGAAGCTGTAGTTTGATTAAGATTCATTCATTAATAATTGAAGTGGATTTGGAGAAAATCAAAGTTCTTAAATATTTGCGTGGCTTTTCTTAGAATTCAAACCACAAGTATGAAAAAGCATGCATCAAATTCATCCAACCATCAAAATATTATCCAAATAGCTTCTCTTGGATTCATTCAAGATTCATGTCTCTTTTGGTTACCTTGCAAATATTTTGGATTCATACCATTTATTTGAATTCATACAAAGGCCATTTTATTATGTGGAAATAAAGTCAACATACATTACAATTATTCAAATACATACAAGTCCAAATTCCATTACAATGATACATAACATCTATACATTTTTACCAAAACCTATCCTAATTTTCACCGTCAATTCCATAAAGAGTTGTTTCTTCCGGATAGCACTTCCTAACAGGGTATAGCGTCAATGTTTTATCTCAGTAATATTGAGCATAAATTGACCTTGCCTCCTTCTCTTCTCGCTCTTCCCATTGGAGAAGCCATACACACGGAGCTTGAGAGGCTTTTCTTGGATAAGGGGAGATTATTACTGGAAAACTTGTTTCATCTGATGCTGATGGCTTACGCTTATCCATTGGATTCTTTGACGACATTTACATTCCTACTCATCACATGCCCAATCCAAACCGCTATGAACCTGAAAATAGCAACAAAAACAAAGGCACATGGTTTTGGGATTATGGTGAAGAAATTGATTCATCATTTAATATTAATTATACTGACAAGATCAAATTCCAAGTTCAAAGTGTGAGTTACCCTACAATTCCAGTTGAGCAACCAAAAGAATCAAAGCCATTTGCTCCAATGTTAGTTAGTGACAAATGGCATTTCAGGAGAAAACAAGACCGACTTTGGAGGATATTGCACTGATGAAAGTGGTCCATGTAGCATTTCTATCACTTTATTCATCGGTGGTCTATCTGATGGATTTGTTTGAATGCACCATAATTTATAACTAACAACAACCAAAACTGATATAACAAAAAACTGCATCTTAACTTCCAAAACAGAATTTCTGTTAACCACCCTGCTAACCTCCTTTCTAATCTCTAACTGTCCTAATAGAAAAAACTAACAGATTCACCAACTAACTGCAAAACAGAATAGTTACAGCATAACTAACAAATATCCAAAACCATATCTCAGTAATCCCAACCTCTATAACTATAACCTAACAACTTTTCTTAACTTTATAACCAGATCCAAACTAACTTAACTAGTAACAAATTCTTAACTGCATCTCAGCTTCCCAACCAAAGTCATGATTCCCCAACCAACTTCCCGTAACTGTTTTCTATAACCAACTAACAGAATCTCTAACAATAAAAAACAGAATTTAACAGCTCAGTTCATAACAAAAAAAATAAAAAGAGAACTTAGATTCAAATCTCACCATCTATTCCATAACTAACTCATTCAATTCAACAGTTCAGATTCAATTCAACTATAACAAACTTTCTCAGCATCTAACAGAATATAAAAACCGACTCTTACCTGCAATCTCTTCATTACTTCATCACTTCAGAAGAATCACCATAAAAAAATTTCTCAGGAAAATCTCTCATCTCTCTGCAATCACCTTCAATTCTCCACTGAACTTCATCCTCACGCAACAATTTGTATAACCGCTACTGCATCAACTTGCTTCAATCTTCATCATCTGCATCTCTGCGTTAACTTGCAGCAACCTTCTTCAACTGCAACATCACAACAACAACACTTCAACAATCTGCTTCACAACTTCATCAACATCACACCTCAGCAACAACAAGAAATCTGAAACTCAGAAAGAAGAGGAAGAAAGGAGATACAAAGGTATAAGAACTCGTATACCTGGAGGGATCCAATTCCGTGCTTCCCTAATTTTCTTTCGCGATATCGCGGTTTATCCTAACCTCCCAGATCCGCCATGGCATCCTCCAAAGAAACCTTCGTCTACATCGCCAAGCTCGCCGAACAAGCGGAACGCTACAAAGAAATGGTCGAAGCGATGAAGAATGTCGCTAAGCTTGACGTTGAATTGACGGTGGTGAGCGGAGGAAATTGTCGAAGCGAAGAAGAAGGCAACGGAAGAAGGTCGGCGGTGCCGCTGTTGTTCGCGAGAGGAGAAGGAGGACGAAACATTTTTTAACCCTAACCCCTTTCCAATTTCATATACTTTTTTCATTTTATATAATTGTTTTATTATCTTATATTTTTTATTTAATAATAATAATATGCTGAAATCATATAATTGTTTTATTATCTTATATTTTTTATTTAATAATAATAATATGCTGAAATCATATAATTGTTTTATTATCTTATATTTTTTATTTAATAATAATAATATGCTGAAATAATACAAAAAATATGAGTTTTTGTTGTAAGAGGAATTAGTGATGGAATGGACCAAACCAATCGATTCCTGGGCCCAACATTTTTTTTCTGGTTGCTCTTTGGTTTATTTACTATAAAAAAACATTTTCTTTTGGGTTTATCTTGATGGGCCTAATGTCATTCTATTTTTTGCAGCACACATTGAATCCAGTTCGCACCTCCTGAGATCTTATTTCCCATACTCATTTCGATTGCGATTAATTTTGGCGATTTATTTTCTTTGGCAATATTGGTAAATAAAAGAGATTTCTTTTCAATTCTCTCACTTTTTTTCTTTTCAATTTTAATCATTAGTTTTACTCATTTTTATATCATGTAGTTCACTTGTGATTTTTGGTATGGATTGTATGCGATATTTTGATACTTGCTGCCTAATTTTACTTATTCGTATATTATTTCATGATTCTTTAGGAGATTTTGGTTCAAATTTAATCTTCGATTTAATGGAACTAAAATTAGACATTAGGCTTTCAAATTCATGCATACTAACATCAGGTAGAAATTTCCCCTTTAACCTAAATATTATGGCTACTAACGCACAATAACATTAGGTTTAGAAAATAGGCTAATTCCCCTTTAACTTTTCTTTCCCTTTTGCATTCGCACCTAAAACTAAAACTTCTTTTTTTTCGAAATTCAAAACACTTTAAAACTATTGATGAGAATCATGCTTTTGCTTAGTACGAGAAATGATAAGCGGATCTCTTCTCGATCTTATTGTTCTTCATCTCAAGCATAGGTGTGGTTCAATTCTCAAAGATTCCTTTCATAGCTAAGTAGAAAAATGACTAATATCTCTCTCTTGAGGCCAATCAGTCATCATCTACAACAAAATACAAAACAAAATCAAATCTTTTGTGCGCTCGAGCACCTTTCATTAAAAAACCCTTTTCAGGTAAGGACACGATTAATTTACTTCTGTGCCAACGCATAAGTCTCCAAAGGTCGAGCTGCGGCAGAAGGCGGAATTAAGTTAGTCCACAAAAAACATCTATAACAAAATACAAAACAAAATCAAATCTTTTGTGCGCTTGAGAACCTTTCATTAAAAAACCCTTTTCAGGTAAGGACACGATTAATTTACTTCTGTGCCAACGCATAAGTCTCCAAAGGTCGAGCTGCGGCAGAAGGCGGAATTAACTTCGTCCACACAAAAAACACAAACAAACAAAAACATATGAGACGAACTACGGTAGCTCTGATTCCTTTAAAAGGATACGTAGGCAATGGGGTAGGGCCCAGGCGAGCACAATTTTATTTTCCCTACATTCTTTTCTCTTTTCTTTAGCATGTATTTTCCAGTAGTATAGTAGACAATAAGCATAGATTAAACACACCCATAAGATAGATAACAAGAGTGGATACCGTAGAGTACTACGGGCGTGTGGGGTGCTAATACCTTCCCCTCGCGTAACAGACTCCCTTACCCGATCTCTCGGTCGCAAGACCGTGACTTCTCCCTCCTCAGGTTTTCTCGATGTTTACCTTTCCCTACATGTGGGATAAAAGACGTTCGATGGCGACTTCATTGTTTAATGATTTTCAGCCGGTTGTTTCAGCTGGCGACTTCACTGGGGATCGGGTCGACCAAATGATGGTCCATCCCGGAGTCGCTCCTAGCTCTTGTTTTCTTTCCTTAGGGTGTTTATTTTTATGCTTTCAGTTTACTCATTTGTACATGTTTATCTGAGCATAAGTTTGCATTGCATTTTATGGCTTTCCATATTTGTTATCTATTATGCTGGACTCTGTTTTCCATGTTGGGTGGGAATGTCACTTCTAAGGTAAAAGGCCCAGTACCCAGGCCAGAGTGCATTAGGACACCTAGGAATAGAGTGGGGGCATGACGGCTATAGGACGTGGTCCGATTAGTGCAGTCACGTCATATACCACGCTCGGATGAGGTTCAAATGAATTACTATTGGCACCCACGTCTGTGGGCAAGCCCATAGCACTTTCAGGCGAACCCATGATTTTCGAGTTACCATTATCTTACCCTGACCTAGTTTTCACCCGTGAGTGGGGAGGGAATTTCCATCACAGGTACAGGTGGTGACTCATATTCAGATGATTACTCATATTCAAATGATAACTATGCTCAAACAGTGACTATCGGTTCTATTGGATATGCTCTGAAACTCTGTCAATGGTTAGGAGGTTCTCAGATTTATTTTGAGTCCCGAATCTGTTCATAAGATTGCATGGTTTATGTTCCGGACCTATGATCCTGGTACTTACAAGCTACGCAGAGACAATACAGCAGATATTGGTATCATGGAAGTAGTAACACCATGATCATTTTGCATTTACATCTAACATGTTTATTTCTCAACAAAAAAAAATGTCAGAAAGATGAAATTATCAACCTTGCATATGCATGTCCACTTTGGATACCTCACTGGCATAATTTTCGCCAATAACATTTGGCAACGGTGATGTTCTCAAGAAAACCAAAGGAGACAATCATACTTTTTTGTACTATTCAAAGTTTTCCGCTCAAGTTCTTGGCCTTCTTTGAAGAATCTAGAAGACCATTTTCGTCATTTCGACCCTATTTCAGTCTTACAGCTACAAGTTACACATTCTAGGACTACCAAATTGTTCCAATTCCGGAAGGACAATCCTCTTTGCTGAACACCTACCTGTCGCTAAGTCCGGATAGGCACAATCTTGAAATTGTCGCTAAGGCACTTTATTTGAGCCTAAGCGACATGAAAAATAACCTACCCCCGAACTAATCATTATTGTTACCAATTGCTCACACTCCCATAACCTTCTTATATTCAATTCTGTGGGAATTTCTCTTATTTTTGGATGTCTTCTTCATGTGGTCGTTCTTGTCATCATGTTGCTCGATTACTATTGACGGTAGTTGAACCATGGAGAACCAGAGTGGACAATCATTTCATACATCATACATATCATACATTTCATAAATTGCAGGTTTGATGGCAGGAGTTCTTATCTGATGATTTTGCCTTTTATTATAGAATCTACAAGACAACTTCCATACATCCTTATCGCACTCGAGCCAACAAGTTGAGGATCATGGAACAGATTGAGAAGAACCAGGCCTCTCTCCGCAAAGACATGGACACCATGGGTGACCGGATGAACCAACTCATGGAAACTCTTCATGCCGTCATCCAAGGGCAGGAAGAGCTCAGAATAAGTGTCACAAAACTGGTAGACGTTGCCTCCACATCCGAGAACGGCGGACCCAAGAATGATCATGGGGGGATTCCTAAGGAGAACCCACAAATGATTATAGATGACCACCATGATGTCATTGATCTCGATGACCCTCCAAAGGATTCTACGACTGATCTGTCTGAAACTGCTAAGATGTACAAGGCTCTGGAAGAATACTTA